CCCACAAACGAGGGGGTGGAGGGAAGGGGGTGAAAAAGAGGGGGGGGAGTGGGGGGGCATGAAGTCTACTTCTTGAGGTGTATATGTACGGGAGAGGTGAAGGTTTTGTGATGGGAAATGGGGTAAGGGGTGAGAGAGGGGGATGGAAATGGGTATTTTGGGGGCGCTGTGTCGCGCGGGAAGGGAGGGTAAGGCCCCCTAGGGATGCCAATAGCGGGCTCTGCGCAATTGCACGTGTACATACGTACATACAGACGAACGGATTGCGGGCCGCTGATGTGGGCCACAGCGGTTCACAACGTCCCTCAATGCTCAAGACGCAGCGGGTTGTGAGTACTCCAGTAGCCCTAAACCATCTTCCCTCACCACAACATGGCCACCTTCTTCCCCTTGTGTTGTGTTTCGTACGCATGTGTTTTCCCCGCTTTCCCCCCCGCCCCCCCCCCTAACCCCCCTCCCTCCCTCTCACCACCCAACCGCGCGTCCAGTGAGCTCTCCATGAGCGGTGTGGCGCTGGTGCTGTCTGCCGTACTGCGCCGTAGCGCCTCTGCCGTACCCGCAGGTTTCGCCACCTACATTGTTTGTTGGGCCTTACAGCTGGTGGTGCAGTTTGGGTTTCCGTACAAACCTGCCGTACCTGTTGGGTGGGTGGGTTTTTTCTCCGCCTTGCCGCCCTGCCTGCTGACCAAGGGCCTACAAGACCTGGCAAATGCCGCACTGGGTGAGTTGGTTAGTGGTTGATTAATGCCTGTAATGTGGGTTTTGCGGTTAGTTGGTAGTTGGGCCGTTGGTGCTTGCGGTGGTGTCTACATTACAAAAGTTTGTCCACAATCGTAACGTGTAAAAAGATCTTACCACGTAGTAGAAGTACGACTAAATTTCCCGTACGCGTCCTCCTTCGCTCGACAAGGAGGACATTCTTCCGAAATTCCAATTTGGAATTCTCCCGTGCACCCCAAGGTTTCCCCGTTCGCCGTTTCCCACCCTCTCCTCTGCCCTCATTGCTCGCGTCTAGCCGTACCAACTCCATTCAAGCAGATCACCGTCTCAGCGCATACACCCTGTTGTATTTCGTACGCAGGGAAGCACTACGTACGGTAAAACACACACACACACACCAACCCCGCTTTACCCCCCAAACCCCCGGCCCCAATCCTCAACCAACCAACCAACCAACCCCCTCTGCCCCCGCCCCCCTCAAATACCTCTCGCCAGGTAGCGGCCCAGGCATTTCCTGGAGCCATCGCCTCGACTACTGCTGGAAGTACCCGCCTCCGCCTGCCGTACGTACATCATTGCCGTACTGGCAAAGCGACTGTGTCGTACCCGTGGGCCAGATCTTGTGGCTGCTGCCGTTGCAGGTACGTTGCGCGTGGGGGTTACCCCTCCCCCGGTCCATTTCTCCAAAAAGAAAACAACTGAAAGGAACGGTATTCCGCGACCAACCCGTAAAATACACACACGCACACACGCTCACACACACTCCCCTCCATTTCCCTCCCAGGCCGCGGGCTTCACCCTCATTGCCATCTATCTGGACGGAGTGATGCCCAGGGAGGATGGGGGCCAAGGCTGGCAGCCTCCCTGGGGGCCTCTGCTACAACTGCTACAGCTACTGCTACCGACATGCTGCTGCGGCGCTCCGAAAGGAGATCCGCGCCACGTGCACATACGTAGCGCCCGTCGCGCGGAGGCCGCCCTGAAGCGCGCCGTACTCGACCAGCAGGTGCAGCAGCAACAGCTGCTACAGCTGCGACTGCAGCAGCAGCAGCAGCAGCAGTCCGATGGTCAACGGAGTCGTCGTACGGGGCTGCATGCTCTCAAGGAGGGCCATACCGACCCGGGGGTCGCTGCAGAGGCCGCCGTCGTACAGGCTATGTGCCGTCGCTTCGTAGGGGAGGTACGGCATCCTGCGGCAGAGGCGGCGGCGGTGGCAGTGCCGGCACCCATGCCAGCAAACGCACGCGGCCCATACGGCGACGTCGGGCCTGTGGCGGACAGCATTTCGGCAAACGTTGCCGTCGACTACGCCGAGACGGCGGCGGCGGCGGCAGTGGCCTTGCCGTACTCGGGCAAAATGGTTTCGACGGCAACGGCGGCAGCAGGGGCAACGGCGGCTGTGCTGTACGGCGGCGGCAAGGCCGCATTCGGAGCTGGCCACGAGGACCTGCCAGACTGGCGGCAAGGTGTCGTACTTTTTGGTCTGCGCAAGGAGTACGACAGCGGGGGCTGGCTGGCGACGTTAGCGAGCCGATTGTGCTGTTGGCTGCAGTGGCGGCGGCGGAAGTGGCAGCCCGTGGCGACGGAACATGCCGCCGCTGCCGCTGCGGCGGCCGCTGCCGCTGCCGCCGTCGACGGCGGGCATTCACCTCCCGCCGAGTCGCAAACATGGAATGCTGCCACGGGAATCTTGAAACCGAAGGCCGTGACGCAATCTGGAGCTGGCGACAGCGGCGGCGGCGGCGGCGGCGGCAGCCGTCGCGTGGCGGTGTACGGCACTTGGCTTCGGATCATTCCGGGCGAGTGCTTCTGCCTTCTTGGTGAGGGTTAGGAGGCGAGGCAGGGGATGGGTTAGGAGACGACAGGCGACAGGCGTTTGTCTTTGGATGCGCCAGGCCCCTCCATGTTGGGATAATGGTCCCATAGGGCTTTTTAAGGTTTTTTAGGGTTTAAAAGTTTGTGGTTTTAAAGGTTTTAAAGGTTTTAAGGTTTTAGTTACCAGCACTCGTTTAAAGAAGGACGCCCGCGGGCCGAGCGGCGGCTACGGTAGCGGCCTCCGCCCCGCTTACATCTACTTACTCCAAAAGTATTCAGCATCTCCCTTGGCAGGCTCGTCCCTTCACTCCCGCGAACAGTTCTGTCACCAGCCAATGATGATGCAACCATAAGAGCTCTCCCCTTCCCCCCCTCAGCATGCGTTCCTTGGCACCAGTGAAGCTTCACTCGTTCCTGGTATGATGTGTGAAACAGGGGGTAATATCTTCACCCCTGGCAGCTACCCTGCGAAACCCTGCCTTCCCCGGTATTTCGGGGCACCCTCATTCAACCACCCTAGTCGACTTCTCAGTGGATCGCTCAGGTTCCCACCCACCACCAGCATCCAACGGAATCTGCCGGGTCGACAGCGGCCCTACTCCATTCCTGGTCGGCTCGCAGATTAACATTATCTCAGGTCACCACCGTCCATCAATTAGGGGCGCAACACCTTTCCACCTTCGGAGGGATTTTCGACCCTGACAGGCCTCGATCCCGGGATCTCCAGGGGGCAATGGCCGCGCGTTACTAGTAATACCAAACCCTAGTATACCCTGGTATGACTTCCCACCCCACCCCACCCCACCCCACCCCACCCCACCCCACCCCACCCCACCCCACCCCACCCCACCCCACCCCACCCCACCCCACCCCACCCCACCCCACCCCACCCCACCCCACCCCACCCCACCCCACCCCACCCCACCCCACCCCACCCCACCCCACCCCATCCCACCCCATCCGCTTACGGCCGCGATTGGCATTGGCACCTGTTTCTTTCACTTGCGTGAAATTCCCCTTCCCTCTCCACCATACCCCCATTGGCAGTCGGTCCTTTGCTTCTTCTGCAAATCATATTCCCTTCACCCCATCCGCCATTCCCCCATGTGTGTATGTATGTATGTATGTATGTATGTATGTATGTATGTGTGTATGCCTGTATGTATGTAGGTCCCAACGGAGCGGGCAAGACCACCACCATCAAGTGCCTCGTGGGGGTGAGGGTGACGGAAACTAAGCAACCCAACCGCCATAACGCGGTAACGAATAACTGACTAACTAATCCCCGTTGTAACTGATTGGCCCTGCGTCGTTCCGCACACACTCGAATCGTTCATTGTCTTCTCGTATCCATCTTCACTTCCCATCTGCATGGTTTTGCTTTTCCTGCATTACGCATTACTACCCTACCCGGCAAGTGTCACGTCTCACTCAAAACCTCAGAAACCAAAACCGCCCAACTTTATCAAAACCGTTGATCAGGCCATAAGGCCCACCAGCGGCGAGGCCCTGGTGTACGGCACTAGCGTGCTGGACAGCCCCGGTCTGGACGCGGTTCGCGGCGTGACGGGCATCTGCCCCCAGTTCGACGTATTGTGGGGTGCCCTCAGCGGGCGGGAGCACCTGATGCTGATGGCTGACGTGAGGGGTTTGTCCGCGGGGCAGCGGAGGGGGGAGGTGGACCGAATGTTGAAACAGGTGGGCGTGTGTGTATATGTATGTATGTATCTACGTGTGTACATGTATGTATATGTATGTATGTCTATGTGTGTATGATTGTTTGTTACATATTTTGCCGGGCCTGACGTCGCTGGCCCGGGGGGGTTGCTGCCCAGCTGCCCCAACGAACAAGATCGCCGGCCGAAGCACTTCCCCGGCCCCCCTTTAGGGGGAAGGGGAGGGGCGTGAGGGGGGCCGCTGCCCCCTCTCCTGCTCGACACACACACACGCACACACACAGAGCCTGAACCGCCAGATACTGTGTAGGGGTGTCTACACACAGAGCGGTACAGGTCCACGGAGGAAGGAAAGAAAGGAAAGGCCCACAGCCTCAAACGCGGAGCCAGGAGAGAAAACGCTGTGCCAGACAGCAGCCAGTGCGTCTGTGTGTGTGTGTGTGTGTGTGTGTGTGTGTGTAGATATGATGTACATACTGTTGGAAAGTGACCGATACGCAGAAGCCAGTTTACTATGACAGTTTTTAGAAGCAGCAATAGAACCCGAGGGGGCTGTGGCGCTTTGCTGACTCTTAACACATACACGTTGGAGAAGGAAGCCGCAGTGTACACCAGAACTTTATCGAAGTTAAAACCCTGGGGCCCCCTTACAGCCCTGAAGGAGCCGCCGGGAAGGAACAACCGAAGGCTGTCCGAAAAATCCATAGATATCGTAAAAACGCACACACGAAAAACCATTATCCTGAATTACCTTTTGATGATGATATATAAATGCAGGCGCCAGAGCGAGTGGGAATAGACGTTGATATCGCGTGTGTGTGCGTGTGTATTTTACATGGTTCGTGGGGTGCGTACCCCATATCGTGGGGTGCATGTGTGCGTGTGCGTGTGTTTACGTGTGTGGGAAAGGCGGGAGGGGGGAAACGAGACTTGCAGGTTATCTGGCGGGGTTCTCTGTAGAGGGCTAGAGGAGTGGGATGTAGGAAATGGGGGGTCTTTGCAGAAGGGGGTCTTTGGTTTGGGTTGCCTCTCCTCTTCATCATGTATTCCATAACTTGTCGCGCATCATCCCCCAGCTCCTGTCCGCTGCCGCCATTGTACCGCGCCGTACCGTACCGCACCTCACGTAGGTGCAGCTGGAGGCCGCCGCAGATCGTGCTGCCGGGTCGTACAGCGGCGGCATGCGGCGGCGGCTGAGTGTGGCGGCGGCGCTGCTGGGTGACCCACGGGTCGTCTACCTGGACGAGCCAACCACCGGCATGGATCCGGTTTCCAGGTATGTCACACCTTGCAGGGAAAGAAGGACGGCGTCCTCAATTTTGTGGTCAAAATTATTTTCTTCTCTATTAACTGCCCTATTGTCTGCCGAGACGCACACCGGAGGGGAAGGGGGAGGGGGAGGGGAAGGGAAGGGGGCGTAGAGGAGGTTATTAGTGCAAAAAAGCTGGAGGAGGCTTTTTTTTAGTGCAAAAAGGCACTCGCACACGCACACGTAAGCATACACACACGCGCACGACACGCGCCCAACCACACCCTGTGCTCTTCTCTTTCAGGTCCCTTGTCCTAATGCCCTAATCCTCCTACAGATGTTCTCGTACTAGTAGTAGGGTTGAACTTGATGCGTTAAACTTGAACTATTATGCCGCCCTTCGTAGCGGTAGCTGTAGCCATTCGTTTTCCCACTGGAGATTCGGAAGGCCACTATAGGGGATGTTTCACGGCATGTTTTTGCTACTACCACTACAGTAGTAGTAGTACTACGACACGTCTTCGGCAACAACGTCCTTGTTCGACACGGCAGCGCTGGGGGGACATCAACCAGCGCGCTAGAGATGAACGACGCTAGGGTTTCGCACATGGCACAACACGGCCAACAAACTGGTGGTATTTCGCTGGTAGTCAAAATCAAAAGTCCACATGAGAGAGCAGCTGGTTCTAGTCTTCTAGTCTAGACCTGGTCTAGATCTTAAAAAAATATACAATAACAAGATAGGTGTCTCCTGTGGGGACGGCTCTTTGGCCTCCTCAACAGCAGCTCCTCACATCTTTTATGGATGTCAGCCGGCAGACAGTGTTTTACTGTCACCACATTGCTATTACATACAATTTCCCCCCCCCCCGCTCTCCCCTCCCGCTGCCTAAACCACCCCCACCGTCCATCCCACGCCCCCAACTCCCCCCCTTCAATCGTGTGTGGTTCGTCTTTCCCCCAACTCCCCCCCAACTCCCTTTCTCGAACTTCGGACGCAGGCAAACCCTAAGTTTGTTAATCCCTTGAAATCCTTGTACATACGATTCAACCGGGCGCCTCTCCCCCCCTCAGGAGCCACGTGTGGGAGCTCATCTCCGCATCCAAGACCGGTCGCTGTCTGGTGCTGACGACCCACTCTATGGAGGAAGCCGAGGTGCTGGGAGACAGGGTTGCCGTACTGGCGGCAGGTGTGAATAATAGGTGGTCCATGCACCAGGAGGTTGAGGGGCCTACTGTAAACATGTGGTTTCGCAGACGCCAGTGTGTCTGTTTGTATGTATGTATGTATGTATGTATGTATGCATGTATGCATGTATGCATGTATGCATGCATGTATGTATGTATGTATGTATGTATGTATGTATGTATGTATGTATGTATGTATGTATGTATGTATGTATGTATGTATGTATGTATGTATGTATGTATGTATGTATGTATGTATGTATGTATGTATGTATGTATGTATGTATGCATGCATGCATACGTACATTTGAGGGTTTTTCCCCGCACCCTTCGTGTCCCCCCTGCATCCCCCCAGGTCGTGCATGCACACCTGACACGTCGCACTTTCGCGTTCGTGCGTGCGCGCGTGTGGGTATGTGCTATTCAGGCCATCATCGATTTCCCCCCCCTCCCGCCGCACAAACACACGCACACCCCCTTCCCACCAACACCCTGGTGCTCTGCATTCGCGCCAGGTCGCCTCCGTTGTCTGGGCCACAGCCTGGCTCTCAAAAGGCGGTACGGCGGCGGATACCGGCTATCTGTCGGCCTCCGCGAGCTACAGTCCACGGCGGCGGCGACGGAAGCGACCACAACCGATACTGCTGCCGCGGCTGGCGGCAACGGCAGTAGCAGCAGCAGCAGCAGCAGCGGCGGCGGCAGTCTCGACGGTGCAGCAACAGGCAGCGACCGTGGCAGCGGCGGCCGCGGCAGTACGGCAGCGGTCGCGGCGCTAGAGCGGATGGTGGCCAAGTGCTTGGGATTATCTATCGGTGGCGACGACGGTGACGGTGACGGTGACGGTGACGGCGGCGGCGGTGGCGGCGGCTGCTCAGCGGTGGCTGCCGAGCGAGGCCGCAGTCATTTACATTTCCAGGTGTGATGCTGATGGTGGCGCTGTTTCAGGTGTTGCCCATTGTTGTGCTTGTGGTGGAGAGAAGTGGTGGAGAGAAGTGGTGGAGAGAAGTGGTGGAGAGAAGTGGTGGAGAGAAGTGGTGGAGAGAAGTGGTGGAGAGAAGTGGTGGAGAGAAGTAAAATGGCGGAGAGAAGTCAGTTTCATGCCGCGGGAGATGTGGCCGGCTACGCACATGACAGGATTGCCTCGTGGCTGTAGCCCGTTGTGACTGTTGTTTGACTGATCGGCTGGCCCCGATTCCTGCCCTGCCCTGCCCTGCATTGCCTTATGCACTGCGCGGCGGTCGGCGCTAATGATGGTGGTGCTGACGGTGGTGGTGCTGGCGGTGGTGGTGATGTTACAGATCCCCCGGGAGGTGGAGACGCTGTTGCCGGAGCTGTTCGAGCAACTGCAGGTGCGAGATATGCAGGCAGGAGGCAGCAGGCAGGAGGCGATGTGGGGGTCACCACCGCGTGGGCGTGTGGGTAGGGGTGAAAGGAGGGAGGGAGGGATGGGAGGGAAGGGAAGGGAAGGGAAAAGGTGTTGAAATGCAGTTCAAGCCAACAGGTGGAAGTTGGCGGTTGCCATAATGACTGCAGATTCAGTCTGTTTCCTGGCAAAGAAATCGCCGGCACCGTACATCAGGCTCCCAAGACGTCTCACCCCTTTACGTATGTTACTGATATCATGCGAGGTCGGTAATGATGATTGGTCGTCGCTAGCAAAACCGGTAAAGGTAAGTAATATTTTTATCTTCAAGGCACAGAATTGATTTATGGCTTGGCCTCGGGATGCGAGGCTACTTTGCCGTTTGTAAGCCGTAGGCAGGACTGCACTTCGCCTCGCATCCGCAATTTGTTTTGCAACCAGCCATAGACAGCTGACTTTATCGTTATGGAAGGAAGGAAAAGACTGTCTCAAGCTACCCCCCAACCACGTTCGTTAACCGTTTATCCGCAGGCACACAGCTCCGCTCTGGGCATTGTCGACATCCAGATCAAGCTTTCTTCCCTCGAAGATGTGTATCTAGAGGTCGTGCGGCAGTGGAAATAGCTGGGTCGCTGTACAGTTCTCAGCTTCTGCATAGTTCCGTACCGACTTCGAGTGGCTAGTACTATGGGGCCATCAACCACTGCAAAAGTATCCATTTACATTACCTTTGACACATGAAGCTTAAACTGTTGTTCGCGGTATAAATTTAAATTAAGACATTTTGACCGCTTTGCAAAAGTTTTTGTGAAAGTTTTAAGGTATGCAACAGTTATTGCGATAAATGAATCTATGGGGTAGAAAGCTCGTTGGACATATTGGCGAGGAGCGGACGGTTTCGCACAGGCGAGTATTTGGGTTGCGCGATGTCATGTTGCATAATGTAAAGCTATGGTGTGCATAATTCAGTTACACCAGAAGTGTTTCTATTGTTCACATGACTCTCAGCTTTCAACCTCTTCGGCATGCTAGGTCCATGTGTCCAGTCTGGGTGTATAGCTTTCCAACACTCGGAAGCACTTTGGCATTTTGCACCCCGAATCAGGTTGCACCCCAGTATCTGTTTCTGAGGCATGCAACACATCCAGTTGGTCGCCCAAACTAGGTGATGGCAGCAGTCGATGCGCTGCCTAGTCGGACCCAAAAGCACAGCGGACGAGGGCATCAAGCTACCAGACCAATCAAGTCACATATTGACTTGACTACCCACACGCTGCCTGCATCTGTCTCCTCTCTTCACTCCCTTCGCCCTCCTCTCAACTACTGCGGCGCTGTAAAATGCCAGCCCAAAAATACCCCCGAGCAGCCTCCTCTGCAGCCTGGCATCCTCTAAAGCCCAGCATCCACAGCCTCCCTCTCCCCCCCTCCCAATGGACTCAGGTCTCCCAAACAAAAGCTATATCCTCCCGCAGCACCTCCCTCTGGCCACCTCCCCCACGGCACCACTTAGCGCGATTCCCTTTTGTAACCACAGCAGCTCAGCATCCCCCTCCTTACACGGCTTGCAGGGTGCGAGGGTACGGAACCGGTGCAAGGAGACGCCGACAGCAGCAGCGGGTAGTCGTGGAGCCAGCGGCGGCTGCAGCAGCAGCAGCAGTAGCAGCCAGCGCAGGCAGAGGGTTTCGGAGGCTGTAGTAGCTGAGGCGTCGGCTGAACGATCGTCGGCTGCTTTTGGCGGGTTCCGCTGCAGCGGAGGCGGCTTAGTAGCAAGAGCAGCACCGGCAAGGAAAAGCGGTACCCAGCGACGGCAGCGGAAGTGGCGGCGGCGGCGGCGGCATAGCGAGACACAACGGGAGCGGACGACAGCCACCACTCAAATCCCGATGAAGCAGGATAGGTAGCAGCTGCAGCAATAGCAGCTGTAGCAGCAGCACTAGCAGCAGCACTAGCAGTAGCAAATTAGGGATTTACACCGGGTATACAAGAGGACCAGCAAACGGGCATAAGCAGGACGAGCACATTCGTGGTACAAACAGGCGAAGAAGGACGAGCAGCAGAAAAATGTCGTACCGACGCTGACAGGATCACGCGGGACGAGCAAGAGGGCAAGGACGAGCAGGAGCAGCAGCAGCAGCAGCAGCACTAGTAGTAGTAGTAGTAGTAGTAGCAGAAGGACGAGGCAGAGTCCGAGTCCGGGGATGATGATGAAGCGGCTTGATGAAGAGCAGCACTCGTTTCGGCACCATGAAGAGGTGTGGTGATAGAGGCTGCGGAGGGGGGTAGAGAGGGTGTTTTGCTTTGGGAAGGGGCGTGGGGGGGAAGTGCCCTTTCACATCGCGGAACACAGTCTCCTCGTGGCGGCGGCAAGGCACCCAGCAGCAGCAATAGTAGTAGTCTTAATGTACTGCTGAAGTGCCGTACTACCGTACCCCATTCTCCTCCGTCCCTCCACCTGATCCTTCACTGCCGCTAATACTGATGCTGCACCGTACTGTCGTACTGCCGTACTACTGCTGCTGGTCCCCGGACTCCGGGTTCCCTTTCCCTTCCCCGGTGCTTAACCCGCTCCCCTCCTCTGCTCGGCTCCTGCTACATCCGTGTTCGTGAGAAGACTCCGACACTCTCGCTCTCCATCGTCTCATCCCCCCCGGCATCCCTCGCTGTCGTGGTTGTTTTGCCTCTTCATTTGCTCCCCTTCCTCTCCGTCCTTCTCCCCTCTCTCCCTCCCCTCCCCCTTCTCCTCGGTTGCTGTCCTTTAGACTCTGCATATATGATTCCTCTCTGCGCCCTCTTCCTTCTTCCCACCGGCCGGCGATTCGCTTCCCCCCCGTCTCCCTCCCCACTTCTTCAGATGCGTGACTCGGAGGGGGCCTTCCAAGTGTTGGCTCGGTTCGGCACCGCCACCTCCAGGGGCGGTAGTCCCATGTCTAGGTGGGTAAGGCCCACGTGAGTGTCTTAAATAAACCGAGCCCCGGGACCCGGGAGAGTGCGGTGTGATGTGTGTATGTCTGTGTGTGAGAGTGTGTGGGGATGTATATTTGTTACATGACAATCCGGGCCTGACGCTGGCCAGGCACACCTAACCGTATACCCCGACGGGAACAACCGCCGAAGCACTCCATCATTGGAGGGGCGTTATATCGGTTAGAGTCCTAACCGTTCTCCCTTGCCAACGCAAGGCACCGCCACCTGTTCGAATACATACAAACACGGTCTTCCCCCCATCCCCCAACAATACGCACGGCCCCCCCTAGGTGGCGACGCAGCGCCATCCGTATCGCCGCCAATAACGCCTCCCGTAAGCTGCGGGAGGCTGCCCGGCTCAAGGCCCTTCAGCGGACTCCCTACCCTCTGGTGCTGGCCAGGATTAAATTGCTGTTGGACAGATTGACGGTGGGTGGGAGGGAGAAGAGGGGGGAAGAGGGGGGGAAGAGGGGGGGAAGAGGGGGGGAAGAGGGGGGAAGAGGGGGGGAAGAGGGGGGAAGAGGGGGGGAAGAGGGGGGAGCGGCCAATCTGAGGGGCCGGGGGATTGATCTTTGACACGGAAATGAAAGGAGATGCATTTCACATTTGAGCAATACATACATACATACATACATACATACATACATACATACATACATACATACATACATACATAT